TGTTGACAATACTTTTAGAAAGTAGTGCTACCTGCATTGTTTCATTTTTTGATAATTGTAGTGAAAAAAATTATCATTACAGGCTCGAACTCACGAGGTGAAACCACAACTGGCTCAAACCGTTGTCGCTATTCGAATCGATGACATCAATGACTGTGCTCCGGTTTTCGTCGGACTTCCCCTATGATGTCGTTGTCAGTTCCGATTCTGCGATCGGAGAAAAGATCCTGACTGTGAAGGCTGTCGACAGGGACATAGGTTCGTGGTTCAGTTACATTTCAGAAATTTTTGGGCTTTTTCGGCTTGAGGGGGGGGGTGACATTTCACTGGTTTCCATTGATTACTGCCGATGCCTCCTGCGGTGGCCTGTAAATTCCTCTTGCGTTATGGATTAGTCTAGTAGCCCTCCAGTGGACCCGATCCAAAAGATCCGAAGTGGGGCGGCGCGCAGAACCAGGTCACGACGCCACACGCGACAACACATGCGATATCGATCCTGCTGCCCCAACTCGGATCTCTTGACCTGCATCCCTCCTGAAGGGCTACCAAGGCTTCTCTGACAGAGATTTTTCTTAATTTCTCGATCCCAGTTTGTGACAGGGTTTGTCTAATGGCTGAGAAAAGATTAAAGGGTCAGAATGAGGAGAAGTTTTTCTAAGGAAAGGCAGTAGATGTGAGGCAAAAATCATAGCCCTCAATTCTTCCAGGAATGAATGGCATAGTGCGCTATCATAGCGTATCGCTTCCGCCTGTTTTCAAACTGAACAAGCATGATGGAAGGCTTACGATTAATGGGAAGCTTGACGATGCGAAAGTATATCGTTTTGAAGTCATAGCGACTGATCAAGGTAAGCACTGATGCCCACTTTGAAGAGTCATTTCATTACTTTTCTACTTGCTCAGATTGTTTCTACATTAATTCCTTAAATTTAGTGCTTTTTGGTGTCACTCACGCAATAGGACTCAGAATGCTAGGGCGGTGTTCTCCGATTCTTCCAATTCCCAAGGCTGCGTTTATACTTTGCGTCAATGTTTTGAGCTTTTCGCGGCTATCGCTTATAACGCTGGCATACGCTGAAAACACTGGCGTGCGCTTAAAATGCTTCAAATGGTAAATGCTGGCGCAAAGTGTGAATGCACTCTAAGCGATGAACTCTTGGATACATATTCAGATGACCTTCCGTAATAGTGCGATGTGACCAGGGATAGGATTTGAGGAACAGTGGGTGCGCGGAAGAGAGACCAGACGGCAAAGGGGCGCAAGGGAAACAAAAGGAAAAGAGACGACTGATGCAGTGGCACACGCCAGTCACGTCTTCCATGGATCATGCTATCAAAGGCACAATTTACGCTCGTAGCATGGGGACCACTTTATCTTTTGCGTTAGTTCCCTTCCAAAGAGAAGCTTGTCTATAAGGCGGTTGCTGCGCGCTATTCCTTCTTCGCCGCATATGATTAATCGTGGAATGTGCTGACTTTTGAATCCACTTGACCAGGCATAGAAGTACAAATCTTCGCTTACAGGAGACCCTCCCATGAAAACTGTTCAACAAGTACGTGTCGATGTTGTGGAGAAAGCCAGACCGATCTTCACCAAAAAGCAGTACCAGGCGACAATTTCTCGGCAGCAAAAGCGCCAAAAAGAAAGAAAAGTGGTTGTTTTTCCGTGGTGCGCTCGAAATGAGTTCTAATTTGAACAAGTAATGCTTTTCAAGAAGCTTATAAAATGGGTTTAGGTTTCCAAAGTCAAAGCTACGAGCAGTGTTGGTGGACATCTGATTTACACCATAGATGACGGAAATGATGACGATCTAAATTTGATTGATATGGATACTGTAAGCCTGCTGATTTCTTTTCCGTTTTGAACTATGATTTCAACGACTTTTCCTTCGTAATATAGAATCATTGCAGCTCTTCAAAACTAAATGCAGGAAGTGGCTAGCCGGGGCACGAATGTCCTTGAACGAGTTTCAGGCGGCCAACCGCTGGAGGGATCTGGAAGACGCTGGAGTGTGCCTATTGACTTTTTCCCTATAGTCTACCAGAGCTCATTCAGTTTTTTTTGTAGTAAAGACATGGGGCAGCTGGTGGAACTAGGGGTAAAAAGGTTGCGCGAAGCTCAAAGTCTTTTTTTTGCTTTCCTGGGGCGGTGGTTTCGTACAATGAAGGTGGGGGGGGGTTGCGGTGAAGGGAACAACATCAAGAGGAAAGAATGCAGAGGAAGACACTTATTGATAATTTAGCAGCCATGTGGCTACTATGAGCTCCAGTAACGCTAGGATTGTCTCGAAACTCGAAATTTGCTTAAAAGACTTGAGGTTTAGCAGTTTCATAAAACGCGGTTTAGGTGTCATCAGTGTGAAAGGAGAGCTAGATGCAGAAGAACGTGCCGCCCATAGCTTGAGGGTTATGGCTAGAGATGTGACGCGGAACGGCTTGAATTCTACTGCCCATGTCAATATTGAGGTTTGTTCTCGAGGTTTTTGGGCTATTGTTGCTGTTTTATTTTGTTATATGAAACCAACCATGGCCGACGGAAACCTCAGTATCAGGCAAACTAATTTGCGCCCGTGAAGTTTTGTGCTTGCAGCTTAAATTAGCTCGCTGGAAGACAGAGGGTATTCTGACGGTGTTTTGAAAACGAGAGATAGCTAGGTTTTAATAGTTATCACGATGCTTGTCAGGGACACAAGAAACGCAATCTACAATTGTATGATAATGGCCGGAGTCAGGTTTCTGAAGGAAAAAAAAGGAGGGAGTCCTAATGAGAAGCAGCAACTTTTCAACTTGGCCTATGAGATCTGTCGCAAAATCAAGAAAACTATTGATTTTTCTAGCTATTAATACATAGTTAAAAAGATCGCTGTTCCGGCTTAAAGGGGGAGGGGTGTGGGTGGTGGGAAATTTATTGCACTTCCCGCTTGTTCCCTCTTGCTATGTTCAATATTAGTTTAACAGGTCTCACGCCAAAACTGTAATCTAGTGTAAGGGTTAGCGATGTGGTACCAAGAAGCACTACAATCACATGATTTCAAGATTTCTTATACAGGTACTGCGTTCGCTGACCTATGAGTATATTAAGTGCCCCCACCAAGCCGATAGCTGCCGAAAAATGTGAATAAATAGAAGTGACCTTAGGGTTTTCAGCTCACTGGCGTTAACGACAATGGCCCACGATTTGAACATCCCATCTATCGTGTGAATGTCTCGGAATCGACACCAGCTGATACGAAACTGCTGACTGTAAAGGCAGTGGATCCAGATGGTGGCAACGGACTGATTAGTTATGCTGTCAGTGGAAAAGACTCCTCCAGTAAGTCTTTCTTCATGTATTTCGGGAGTACTATAGTGACTCAGGGTAATAGTTTGTGGCCTATCGATCAAACATCGTCCACGCCATGTACTTCTCAAATTTTCAGTTGTTCACATGGATCCCGCCACAGGATTACTCAGTCTAGCCCAACAGCTAGACTTTGAAAAGCGGCAACGTTATGAGATGTCTCTGGTAGCAGCAGATGACTCACAACTAGCTGGAGAGTCCAAGCTGGTGCTGACGGTTGGTTCACAGTCTTTTTTTTCTTGAGACTTTCGAAATTCTCGGTTCATAGTGATAAATGGCCTGGCTTTCAGGTGGAGGATGTGAATGATGAGCCACCTCGGTTCTCTACGCCATTCGCCGCTGCAACGGTAGCTGACACAGCGACGGCTGGCCAGTTTGTCGCATCATGAGCGTCACAGATGATGTGAGTCTTTTTCGGGCCAGGTGGAATTGAGATGGGAGGAATTTTGAAACTTATAGAGGGTTTGGAGTCTCAGATGGGCGTCATGTTCAGATCATCTAAAGGCAGAGGGCACCATTGCTCGAGGCGTGACGGCTTGCTGCAGTGTCATTGGGGCGAAGGGTTTGCGAGAAGGAGCTTGACCACACCACTGCTTACCCTTAACAAATAGTAAATGGCACATCCCCCGCTCCTAGTCTGGCCATGTTTTTAGGACCTCGGAGCACGCTTTCAGATGTTAACCTATCTGAATCTGTAATTTCAGGATACCGTATCGTCCATCAAAGGTGATCACCGCCTGTTGTATTCGATCATCGAAGGCGATGAGACGCTGTTTTCCGTTGCGGAGCATACCGGAGAGGTGTCACTGCTACGTTCCATCGACGCTGATGATGCAATGAACGACGGTGGACAAAAGGTCCTAAATGTCTCGGTATCGGATGGATTGTTCACCGCCTACGGTCAACTGACGGTCTCCATAGCCGTGTCAGGAAGTCGCCAACCGCCGCCACGATTCGAACAGAGTCAATATGTGATAGATGTTCGCGAAAACAAGTAAGGCAAATTCTTTAGGCAGCGTTCAGACTTCGCGACGGCAGCGCTTCGGTCGCGCGTTCGACGCGATCGATGCAGTCGAAAGCATGCGCATCGATCGCGTCGAACGCGCGACCGAAGCACTGCCGTCGCGAAGTCTGAACGCTGCCTTAGGCCTTCCTCGCGAGGATATGGAGTTCATTGCCTTCGTTTCAGTATTCTGACGAACAAGACTGCGGTTCTGACAGTACAAGCTCGTGACGGTGTTCCACCCTTGCATTACTCTATAGGTACTGCTGGTGATAATCGTCAAAGATCAGTGCGAATTGAGAAGCTTACCGGTCGAATACATCCGAAGATCGTGTTTAATTATCGTCACCAACACGATTACAAGTGCGTTTCAGAATTTGTAAATTATTTGTTACCTGTTCATCTATTACTTGTTTGCGTTAGTCCAATATAGGTCCCGGGGCATGTCGTACGTTGGTGGCTCCAGCGGGGGACATCTGTTGGTTGCCAGCTATTTTTTGAGAAAAAGCTGGAGAATTTTCAGGAAATTTATGGAAAAGTGTTTCGAGTTGGGTGGTTTTAGGAAGATGGTTGGTGTGAATTTTAGCAGAAGAGGAAATTTCGAAAGGGGGGAGGGGCGTCGTATTCTGCAGAATTTTTTCCCAGCGGCAGGACTTGTTAATGATAATAAGCCTCTAGGTTTCATGACAGGATAGTGGCAAATAACCCAAGTCTTATGAAGCAATTCTCTTCCCGAGCCATTTCTCGGTA